TTTATATTCCTCTCTAGAAGCTTGAAAATAGTATTTAGCCACTGAAATTTATCCTTCTTTTTTTTTTTCTCAAAACCTGATGTTCTAAAATTGAATTTGAAATTGAAACAATATTTAAGTGATTTTTTTTTTCCTGTATGCAATGGCAGTCTTAGTAGATTCTCAGAGCTTTTAAAGTAGCCTATACTGGTTGTGCTTATTTTGCAGGCTGATTTCAGATACACAAAGAGGACTCGGCCTTCTCCCCAGTGACCTCAGTGGGGTTATTTCAGGTTTACGTCAGTATGACTAAGAGGAAGAGAATTAGCCCTTTTTAAAAGTCAGATAGCAATGAATGCCTCTTGCCCACAGCCAAGTGCAAGTTTTGAATGAGGAAAACCTTACATTTAATAAATATTCGAGTTCCACTGAACTGCTGCTAATACTGGGTACGTGTTTAAATACTATTTAAAAAAACAAATTTCCCTTAAATTGGCACAGAAACAGAGCAAGCTGCCTCTTACATTCTGCTCTCAGCTATGCTGGTGTCAGATTTACTTCACCTCCTGGCATGAGAAGTAAAACCAAGCCAGATGGGAATTACGAAGATGAGCTGAGGTGTCTCAAAGGAAGAATCAAAACCAGACAGGCCAACTATGCCAGGTAACTCAGGTAAACCCTTTTAAGGCTTCATGGCCCTTTAGGGGTGACTATGTGCAACTGGGAGAAAGGACAACTAAAACCAGACCTACACAGGATGCATCTTTTTTTTCTGTCTGCCTGTACTTAAAAAAGTAAAACCACTGTATACGTCTCAGTCAGGTTGACGGTTAAGCCTTCTGTGAGTAAAGTGAGATTGTACTGTTTGAATGTGGTTGTCTATTTGGTATCTTGCACATGAGGAGCAGACGCTTGTTTCTTAACAGATTGTACAACTACCTGTGTTTCTCTAAGGGTACTTACTGTCTAACGTTTAGAGGCCCCTACTTATAATGCATTGAAAGTGTGTTTTCTTTTAGATTTTTCTACTCTGGCAAATTAGAAATCCCCTGCAGAGGAGAAAATATTTAACTGTAGACTTCGAGTATGCCTTCAAACTCTTACTGAATAATTTGTTGATTAAATGCAGTAGCCTTCAGCCTCTTAACAGCTTTCTCACTGAAAATCATAAGTAGGCAGCAGAATTGGTAAAAGAGATCTTTTCCCAAAAAATCTAGCACCAGCAGTCTTGGGCATATTTTTCCCTTCTCATGTACATAATTACTTACTCTTATAATAAATGTGCAGTTCATAGTCCAGTCAGTATAGGGTTCAATAGATTTGAGTCCCTTGTGATACCGGCTCTCGTAGTATGATCTTTTAAGATGTAATTCATCACTGGACGTGTCACAGCAGGCAATACTGTGTTAAGTCCTGTTTTGTTCTCAGTCGATAGATGGGTCGGGTATCAAACCACATATAGATGAGAAAGCTAATTTAACACCCAGGATGCTTATACAAATAAGCTTATTAAAAAGAGACAGCATTTTTGTGTGGCTTTCCTACTGCTGATAAATAAAAAATGACAGTTTTCCTCTCCAGTTTGAAAGCTAAACATTTCAGTTCTGAACAAAAGAGGTGGGTAAACAAGTGGCTTTGAGGACAGGAGGAATAAACTGCTATTCTTTTCAATGAATGCCCTAAAGCGTTAAAGCAGAATACTCTGCATTGTAGCTATGACACTGCTGTCTCCCTAATGCACAAAAGGATGGCACATGGGCTCACACAACTTTGACTGCAGCAAAGTAGCAGGGATCCCAATGGTGTTCCCATGGAGCTTTCATTAGAAATGGAGACTCATGGTGTGTTTAATCTCATCCCCTGAAAGACTTCGCTCTGTGTCAGTTGGCAGCAGCGCATAAAGATTAGAATAGCAGTCTGGCAAAGTGGGTTGCACAATTTAGCATAAACCAGCACCCCCCTCCAAAAAAAAAAAAAACCCTAAGAGAAATGGAAGAAGGATCAGACTTCAACCCACCAGATCCAAAAAGTCTGAATTACGATGCCTCTGCCGTCCTTCAGCATATCGTTGTTATTACAGGACAAACTCATGCTGGAGTTGCAGCCCGTATGTCACGTGATTATGTACTGTTCTCACCCTCAAAGTCAACAGAACGTAGGCACAAAGGCATTCCTGAGCAAGCGCCCTGATAAAACACAGATGAAACTTCAGATTCGAATGAGCTGAAACAGTAGTTGCATATTGAGGAATTTCTTGCCTGAAGAGGAAGAGAGAACTTCATTGTCTGTCTGCTCTAAAAATCTGAAAATTATCAGGTCAAACAGATCTGCCCACAAGGTTATTGTTTTATCTTATATGATCCCAGACAGTGCCTCTGAAACAGCTGTTCTACAAATTTTCTCTCCCAAAAGGCCGTGTACCAAAAGACTGCACCTAGTATCTCAGCCTTGCCTCTAATTTCAGTTTCTCTTTGAATGTTTCTCTCTTCTGATACAAGTTACAGGTATAGCTGAGAAATTATTTTGTTAACCCAGAATCCTACCAAGTTAGCAAACTCCCCATACCTATGTTGTCTTGCAGAATTTTATCTTCAGGTAATTTGTGAATGGATGAAGAGCAGAAATATTACTTAACATCAAATACAGATTAGTTTGACTACTTCTTGAAGTTAAAGAGTATTAGAAGAAAAGAATTGAACTCAGTCTTTATTCCTGTACATTTTAAACATTTTTTAACACATTATCTGGTCTGGTGCCATACAGTGTTTTAACTTGAAGGCTTTTCAAATACAACAGATGGCAAACATGTTTCAGCTCTCTAATTGCTTTCTCTTCTTTGTCAGAACTAGTGACAGAACACAAGTCCCATATCGAATAACGCTGATACTAAAATGTGCTGTAAACAAATTTTTTTAGGCTAGTGATTCTTGTTACTCTGGCAAGTGAGTATTTCAGCATCAGCCAGTTATTCTGGGTGTGAGAATAACTCAAAAGTTCCCTAAGCATCCACAATGGTATGATATTCTCTGCTGTCAGTTTTGCTTCTTGCTTTTTGTCTTGTGGTTTTCCTTCATGAGACAGTGGTATAAAGGATCATTTAGTATTATCAATTACAAAAATATTTTGTTTTCAATCCACTGCTGTGTTTTATTTTCATGGCCTTTTCAATTATCTCCAGATGGATTCTGTTAAAATGTTTTTAACTGTACATATTTTTCTTGAAAACAACATTAATATGTAGAATATGAGAAATCATTATTGGAAAGAGTTCTTCAGTCTTGACTTAAGTTCTTCAGTTTTAGCCAATTTTTTATCTTTCCAACATACTCACATTGTATAACCTGAATGGTGTTCCCAGAACTTTGTACTCAAACTAAGCTCCACTGGGAAACTGCTAGTAAAGCAATCAGCACTTTTTGTAGACTGTATCTGTCTTGTCCACCGGTGATCTCATTTCAAGTGATAAGTTACACGAATCTCTCTCAGATCTGCTGGCTTCTGGCATGTTGAGAGAGAAATCGTAAGAGAGAAGTGATACCTGAGGTAATGAAATGGACTGTTCTGTGATGCAAATAAGTGAGGTATATGACAGAAGTTCTGCTCACCTCTTGAAGCAAGCAGATCAAAAAACACAACGACGCCAAAGATCTTTTCCCCTGCTTCCATCAGTTGATTTTGTTTTCTGCTGATTGATTTAAACATCTTGTTCTATCAGTCTTTATCCATTATGGATATTATAGGTATTAAAAGAAATTAGTAACTTGATCAGCAGCTGTCAGGTTTCAGCAGCCATTGTGTTCATTGTTTTACTTCTGGTAAAAATAGAGGAACTGCTGTGTCCTGCTTCCCAAAAGTGGCAAAAGACTTAATATCAGGCATGTGTAGTCTGGCTGCAGTTGAACAGTTTAATAGCAACAGACAGAAGCAGCCACGATATGTCTATATAGCAAAATGGAGATATCATTATATTGGCACTTACCTTGCCAGCTCTGCTAATGCTTGCCATGAAGATGCGACAGCCAGCTCTGACAATAGCAAGCTCTAATATGGCTGCTAGTCTGTGCTGGAGAGTGTGCCACCAAGTCTCTGCTGCCTTCTTACTGCTGCTACCCAAATTAAAGTTATCACAGCTACAGCAATCATGCTGTGATCACTGTAATATGTTTTATTACACTCAGAGTATGTGCAGAGAGAAATAACCCAGTACAAACAGCCCCTATGCACTGAATACTGCCCTAGACTAGATTTGCCAAAAAACAAGCTGAGTGCTTTGAATATTATCTGAAAAACCACATGAGTATTGCCTCAGTTTTCAGTAATGTCTATGATAAAGGACACAGAGGGAAAAATAGGATTGATTAGAATTCCTCTCTGGTAACTGCCAGTTTACACATTTGCAGAGGAATCAAAACTTAAATTGCTCAAAGCACATACAGGGCTTCGATAATACCTATTTATGCTAAGTCTACCTGGCAGTCAGAAACTACTGGTGTCCCTCAGGGACCAGCGCTGGGATCAGTACTGCCTAATGTCTTCATTAATGATTTGGATGATGGGAGAGTGCACTCTCAGCAAGTTTGCATACAACACAAAATTGGGAGGAGCTGTCAACATGCTCTCTGTCAACATCCCTCTGATGAGGGACCTGAACAGGCTAGAGAAACAGGCTGACAGGAACTTTGGGGAGTGCCACAAAAGCAAATGCAAATTCCTGCTTCTGGGATGGAATGACTCCTTGCAACCCAGACAGGCTGGGGCTAACTGTCTGGGAAGCAGCTCTGCAGAAAAAGATCTGAAGGTCCAGGTAGACAAGTTCATATGAACCAGCAGTGTGCTCCTGGATCAAAGAAAGCTAGTTTCAACCTGGGCTGTATTAGTGTAGCCATCAGGTCAAGGGAAGTGCTCAGTCCCTCAAGTTTGGCACTTGTGAGACCTCTCTGGGATACCATGTCCAGTACTGGGCTCTCCAGTGCAAGAAAGACATTGATATACTGGAATGAGTCCAGTGGGTGGCCACCAAGATGGATAGGGGGCTGGAGAACATGGTGCAAGAGGAGAGGCAGAAGTGGGCCTGTTCAGCCTACAAAAGAAAACGCTTGCGGGGAATCCTTACTGCTGTCTACAGCTACCTGATCAGAAAGTACAGAGAAGATGGAGCCAGAATCTTCTTGGAGGTGCACAATGGTAGGACGATAGGCAACAGACACAAGTTGGAACATGGGGAAGTGAGTAGATATAAAGAAAATATTTTTACCATGAAAGTGGTCAAATGCTGGTGCAGGCTGCCCAGGAGACTGTGAGATCTACTTCCCTCCTTGAAGGTGTTTAAGACTCAGATGGACATGTGCTGGCACAGCCTGATCTCATTAGACCTGCTTTGAGCAGGGAGTTGGACTAGATGACCTCTGGACGTCCCAACCCAAATTATTATATGATGATATGATTCCTAGATATAGAAAGAAATGCTGCAGGAAGCGGTTGACATCTAACCTGTGCATGGCTGGAAAATAACAGGAAGAAAAGCAATCTACGCAACTATGACCCTGTTGGTCTATCTTCAACAGGTTTTAAGACTTTAGGATACATTTTAAAGGCAAGAAATACTGAAGACCAAGTGATGAATGGACACTGAGATAATATCCCATATCAAATTACCAACAGCACATCCTTCAGATCATCCTAGTATTTTCTTTGATAAGAAATTCCAGGTAGTTTAGACCTGCTGTGTTTAAATAGCACTTTATGTTGGATGTTTTTCAGTCTGAGGAAAACATTTAGTACAGTAAGTATAAGCCAGTGAGGGATCTGATTAAAATAAAGAAGTAATAATTTGTGCCAAAAAAAGAAGGCTGAAAATTGGTTCCTAGCTGGTCTTTTCAAGTCTGAAATTGGGACTACCTCTCTCTTTAATATTTAATTTTGCCATTGCCATTAAAAAGATGCAGGAGGTAATATTTGTCAATGTCAAAGATGGGCCATGTTATCAATGTCAGAGAGGACTGAAATAACCTACAGAATGAAATGAAAGACCTTGTGGATGACAGCATAGGAACTGGATATTTAATTGCACAGCATACAAAGCCATGTATTTAAGGAATTGCAGCCAGCTGGAAATGACTGAGGAAAAAGATCTGGACATGCTGGCAAATCACCCGCACTCTGTGTGGTGAGTCAAAGGGGTATGATGCAGCTGCAAAAGAAATACAACACAACAAAAGGCTGTAATTTTTACCGACTCTTTTGATGTTTCTAGGTTACCTACCGGAGAGCGACCCTGAATACTGTACAGTTTTTCAGAACCAGCTTTTGAATTTTTAGAAACCTTTTCATTTCCCATACATAGAGAACAGCAAATGAAAAGTATATGTGTGTGCACAGAGGGAGAGCGATGGAAGAAGAGGAAAGACTGGGGAAACACGGAAACAAAAATATACTTTTTAGGGGTTGTGATTTTCTGTTTGAATAAACAGCCATTGATTCCAGAAATATGTCCAAAGACTGCTTTTGAAAGCTCTTGGCAACATCAGTTCCACTAAGTAAAGTACTACTACGGTAAGTGATTTTTGAGAGTATGAATGCAGGGATAGCAGGTGATGTCTCACCAGCTCCTCTTTCAGCAATGTTGTTATTTCTATGCTAGACCTACAGCAAAGTTTCTGCATGCTTGAAGTATTCAGCCAATGTTGTTCATAGGCTGTGAAAGCCAGAAGCAACAATTTTCTTAAATTGAATCATATTAGCAAGTTCTCTTATTCTGCTCTGATAGTTTCTTATTTTATTATTATATACATTATTAACTATGCTAGCAGCAGGACATAACAAATGCAAAATACTTGTTCAAGAACACTACTGTTTTCAGCAGGGAATAATTAAGAATACATTTCAATAACATTTAGGATTCTAATGAATAAAAGATAACTCATGCAGGCAACTCAGAGGCCTGCATAATTTTCTCCAAGGAGGTTAAAATGCATGATGAGTGCCTAATTCATAAGGAAGCACTTTTGGGTCATATATTTCAATAGCAGACAAGATGTGATCAAGGTTCAGGTAACATATAGGTTTGAAATGTCATCTTTCCTGCAGGAAGCCTTCAAAAGGATGTCAGAACTCTTCAGTGTAATTCACCTGAAAAGAAGAAAATACCTCTGAGAGGTGGAATTTTAGAGCTTCAGCACTTTGCAAACAGGACATGTATCAAAACCAGAAACTTTAATTCTCATTCATGGAAGCACTGATTGCATTTTCCCAGCTGGATCTGAGTTGGTAAACAAGCACTGAGCACAAGTGTGCTCCCATCTCCATAACAGCAACATAATGAAAGCAGTAAAGAATACGACCATCAAAATGGCTTTCTTTCAGACTCTCCGCCATTCCTCTAATTCTCCTAATCGCCAGATGCAACTATTTAGTTTTGTATTCCAAAATTGCCTTGATTTTACATCTTCTAAAAAAATAATAAAGGACAAAATGTGTTTATGTGGCTCAGCCCATTCAGGCAGCCTGTCTAAAATTTGTTTTAAACTTTGCTGTCTACAGCAAGTGAGGCTGTAACAGCATCGTCTTAATCCTCTTGGATTCCACACCACAATATTGTAACAGCCTGACTAGAAATTACTCCTACCTCTTTACTACTCTTCATTTCAACTGGTATTCTGCATGCATTTTGGGGGCAGGGGGCAAGATGGGGATTGTGGGGAGAGAAAATACAAAGAAAGCAAGTGCAAGGGCATTGATTGTACAGAACAGAGGCTTTAGATAACCAGGATTGAAAAGACAGGCATTTGTACGTGGATACACACACAGAGCTGCCCTTAAAACAGCAGATCTGAAAATTATCAGAAATTTCTAACAAACAAAGCACAAACAAGATTAGCTTGTTGGTTTGGGAGCTTTTAGATGCCTGCCTCTCAGTCACTTTGTCTGATAAAAGCAAATGCTGAAGTTGCTTTGTACTCTATTGGCATAGCCTCTTCCCTTACGCAACTCCAGCTGAATGTTTTTACCAAATTCTCAAAAACTCCTCTTAAAGCTCGAACCAAACCTAGAGGATTTAAATTTTTTTTTGGACAGGGTACAACTGCCTATCCCTACCAAGTAAGCGGACAGTAACGAGGACTCCCTGCGAAGTACTCTGGGGTTTTCAGATTGGCGTTAGCATCTGGGAGGTAACCAGGTACAGCCAGGCCTCTGGTGCAGACTGATGCTGTTCAGGGTTGGTGCAAGGCATGCAGAGGAAATAAGAGGCTTTGTGTGGCCCATTTTACTGCCTATAGAATGAGAACAAAGATTTTTCTGCCACTTTTTGTCAGTGTTGTACAAAATACTTTTCAACTCATAAATCTGCTTGCCTGGCAGCCTGCTCTGTCTGTATACAAGCAGAGATTGCAACTAACTAGTTTTGTTCCTATTCCAAGTTGGGATAAGCTACTACAGAGCTAGATTTAAGGCAACTTTATCCTTCTACCTGTATGCTGTTGCCAGGACTACAGAAGACAGACTGGATTTTGGCTAGGTTGGTTCCTATTAGTGCCAGGTCTTGCACTTGGGTCACAACAACCCCATGCAGCGCTACAGGCTTGGCAAAGAGTGGCTGGAAACCTGCTTGGCAGAGAAGGATCTGGGGGTTCTGGTCAATGGCCAGCTGAGTATGAGCCAGCAGTGTGCCCAGGTGGCCAAGAAGGCCAACAGCATCCTGGCTTGTATCAGAAATAGTGTGGCCAGGAGGATCAGGGAAGTCATCCTTCTCCTGTACTTGGCACTGGTGAGGCCACACCTCGAATACAGTGTTCAGTTTTGGGCCCCTTGCTACAAGAAGGACATTGAGGGGCTGGAGTGTGTCCAGAGAAGGGCAATGAAGCTGGTGAGGGGTCTGGAGCACAAGTCTTATGAAAAGCAGCTGAAGGAACTGGGGTTGTTCAGCCTGGAGAAGAGGAGGCTGAGGGGAGACATTATTGCCCTCTACAACTACCTGAAAGGAGGTTGTGGCCAGTTGGGTGTTGGCCTCTTCTCCCAAGAAAGAAGTGATAGGACGAGAGGAAATGGCCTCAAATTGCACCAGGGGAGGTTCAGATTGGATATTAGAAAAAAATTCTTCACTGGAAGGGTTATCAAGCACTGGAACAGGCTGCCCAGGGAAGTGGTGGAGTCCGCATTCCTGGAGGTATTCAAAAGACAGGTAGACATGGCACTTAGTGACCTGGTTTAGTAGTGGACAGGTACGGTTAGGCTCAATGATCTTAAAGGTCTTTTCCAACCACATGACTCTATGATTCTGACGGATGGGCACAATGAAAGCTCTTCTGCCCCTCTGGGTGTTTCTTTCCCCTTCAGCACATCTCCCTTCCTAAAGCAAGTCCTTTCCCTTAGCCCACTACCGTGTCACATGTAAATAGCTTGTTTTCTTTTGTTTTATTCTTGCCACCCCATTTCTTTCTCTTTCAACCCAGTTTCTTCATCCTATTATGAGGGAGACTAAATTTCTGTGTCCAATTCTGCAAGCTGTATTTTTCTAAAAGATTACAAAGATTTATGACATCCATGGGCAAGTGATGTGAATTTAAGCTACTGATCTCCTGGTTCCAAGGGCCTCCAGATTTCTAGACCTAGGTGATACATTTCTAAACTTTTCAAGCTTTCATGGATTTAGAGCAAAACTCAGAAACATTATCAGAGCAAATTCTATGTTTAAAAGCCAGAAAGCAAGCCAAAATGGACCTACTAGCATTAGTTGTAAACCCTCAATTGACATGTTTGTTTAAAGTCAGTATTCTAGGCACTGCTTGGCCACAGGAGATGTAATTAAAATAGTGTTTGTGACAAGGAAAACAAAACCCTAGAAGTTGGTCTCCCTTACCCACACTCACTAACTGCAATGATTTAGTCCAAGGAATATGTGGTGATGCTTTTACAACAGAGCTTTGGAGGGTATTTTTTAAAAAGCAAGCATGTGGTGGAGACATATCAGATGATTCGACCTTGTAATATTCTCTGATTTCCACCAGCCAGACTTTGCAACCAGCAGCAGGGCATCAGCTGGCAGCTCGAAGTTCATATTCAAAAGGCCGAGGTACATCTTGCAAGCCATCTGTGGCCTGGTCTCGGGGGGACAGAAAACACACAGGAGTGCTTTGAATTCTAATGTGTGCATTGACTTTCAGTGCCCTCTGCACTGGCACCCTATT